GTTGAAGAATGGGGTTGGTATTTGTATTGGGATTGCATTAAATGTTTAAATTGCTTTTGGTAGTATTGCCATTTTCACAACATTGAGTCTTCCTATCCATGAGCAAGGGATATTCTTCCACTTTTCAAGATCTCTTTTTATTTGTTGTTGTTGCTTTTTTTCTGAAGTGCTTAAGGTTAAGTTATATGCTATTAATGTAACTTATTCATTTTATTTACTGATTTTCCCCCTGACTCTTGGATATGACTGCAGGGATTTCTCATGAGTACAGAGATTAGTGCCTGTACTCTTCACTACTTTACCCCTGCTGCTTTGAAAATTATCTAGAATGTAGTAGATACTCAATGACTGTAACTCAGACTCAACAACAGAGAGGCACATACAGTGAAGTGCAGCAGTTATGAGGCTCTGGAGCCAGCCTGTTGTTGTTGGATGCCATCAAGCGGAGTCTGACTAACAGTGACCCCATGTGACAGGGAAGAACTGGCTGGTAGAGTCTCCTTGGCTGTAATCGCTATGCAAGCAAATCACCCAGGCTCTCTCCCACAGCTCTAACTCAGAAGCACTGCCCACAGGTGGGTCCCGACCCACAGTGACCTTCCATCGGGTTTCCCACAGGAGGAAACTGCCCCTCTTTTTCCAAGATACTGCTGGCAGACTTGAAACACCAGAGACTCACAGCCTCTGGGTTAGAAGCACAACTCACAACAGGCTATTCAGTTAACTGCTGAGAACTTAACCATTGCACCTCCAGGGCCCAGCTCACTGGAATCCAAACTCTAGTTTATGCTTATTCTCTGCACTATAATCACCTTGTCTATAAAATGGAAATAATGACATTATTAAACAGTAATGTAGTTAGGACAACTGGATTCTCTCACTAATACATTTAAAGTAAGAGCTTAATAAATGTTAACCTTTATTATGTGTTGTCCCACACCCAACTGTGAGCAAGGCCTATCATAGGTGCACACTTACCTTTGGACTAATAAGAGTCAAAGTCCTCCAATCACTGAGAGTCACCTCCATGCCCTCATACTCTCTGCTTAGACTATTACTCAACACTGGCCAGAAATGCACTTTTCCCCCACAAATAGTTGTATATTCAAGGCATGATAAACCCAAAGGAAGATTTAAAAGAATGAGACCATTTTCTTAGCATTCCTGGAAGATCAACAGCCATGGCCTCCACCATTCAGAACTGTGGCATTCCCATCGGTGAAATGGGAATGCGTCCATAAGAGATTCCAAAAGACCTAGAACCTGGCAGCGTTTTGCAGAAGACTGATGCGAACTTGATTTCCATTTCTCACGTTGCCAGCTACACACCTCCCTGTCCCTCACTTTCACTTCCAGAGGCGGCACGCTCCTGCCCAGCCCAGCTGGCAGGAGACCAGCTCACGAAGCAGGTATAGTTAATGAGCCCAGCCCACTGACCTGAAGAAGTCTTTAATCTCCTCCTCCAGGGACTTTCCTAACTTCCTTCTGTAAACGAAGGAAAGAGCACATGAGCACACTGTATATAAATACGCTTGGGAAAGCTTTTCTACTTCTTTTTTTTTTTCCTTAAGCCAAACTTGGTTTCTGTTGTAGGCGGTGCATTCTCTCGCAGGGCAGGGCCACAACTCGTGGAGGGGGGCAGAAAAGGGGGAGGAGTAGGCAGTGATGAATTCATCCACGGTGCAAAGCTGGTCTTCTATTTAATGGGGGTCTCTCAGCTGAAGAGGAATCAGAGGCGCCTCCAGAGCCAGCAGGAGCATGGTAGAGGAGCTGGGTTTCAGGGAGACATCAAGTGTGGAAATGCTGCCCACGGATGACTGCGACAGGCCCAGGGCCAGGCCCGGGCTGGAGGCCAGGAGCAGCCATACGTGCTGGGCTCTCACCTGCTGCTTGGTGCTGCTCCCCATCCTCGCGGGGCTAACCACCTACCTGCTCATGGGCCAGCTCCGGGCCCACGGAGAGGTCTGCGCGCTCCAGGTAAGCCAGACTGCCCTCCGCCTGCTGGGTCGGTGGACCTCTGCAGCGCCCAGGAGGTCCCTCAGCTTTAGACCCTGCACTTGCTTCACCCCATGCCTTGTTGCTTACATACCAAGGAAATGCCAGAGCGGAAAGGGTCAGTTTGGACTTTATTCTCAATTTTCCCAGGGAATGAATTGCGCCCCTTTCTATGTTTATGTGAGAAAAACCTCAAGACTCATATTTTTAAGTAATTGTCGTAACATGCTGATAATTAAAAGCATTTCTCTAGGGGGGAAAAAAGAGCTTATTTTGGGGTATGCAAAGTCAAATTTTAAAGGAAAATAATGGAATTACTTGGGCTCCTTCATAATGATTTTATTTGAATGTCTAGAAATTCACATCAGTTTGATGATGTCGATGACTGTATTATATGCCTGGATGTGTCAGCGCTGTTCTTTGTTTAGCCAGCAACCAACAAGTATTCTTTTTCAATGCTCCAGGGGGAGGGGCTACAAACACCAAAACTCTTGCTTGATTGGTGATTACAAGATTTTGTGAAATATGAGAAAACTTATATACAGGTGACCAGGAGAAAAATTGTCATTTGGTTGAGGGACAGTAAAAATGTGCCTGCCATTCTTAAGAATATGCTATTCAAGTAATTTCCTCTTAAAAAAAATATATTAGCCTCCTGCATCATCTGTGGTGATTGATTATATTTCAGCCAAATTCTCCAGTTCCAGTAGAGAAAACAGACATCTCAATTAGTTTAATTGGAAAGCTGGTTTCCAAACAATGCTGGCCAACCGCAAATCAGAGCTGGGAGCTGGCGACAGCTAATGTGTAACTGTGACAGTGCGCCCTGGGCCAGCTTACAGGCTGTGACTCAGATAACAGAGCTCATGGCCACATGCCGCTGTTGGCACAAAAATAAATAAAGGCAGAAATATGCAGACTCCCAGAAATGCTACTGATGCCAGAGGAGAGCTGTAGGGCACGGGAGTTCAGGCTGTAACTTGCTCTTGAATGAGGCACAAGGTGGCTTCCAGGAGCCTGAGCTCTCCCAAAGGCAAGTCTGCCTCTGTCCAAGATCCCTCCTGTCAGTGGAAATGAAGAAAGTTTCTGTCTGGAAGGCCATCAAGTGAAATGACATAATCCAAGGGAGGATCACTGGTCTGCTTTCAGTCACAGAACAAGTTGGCAACTTGAACTGACACTGGACAGGAAGCCCCGTGAGGCCTTTACTCATTCTAAAATCCATGAACTTCAGCGCCTAGCCTATAGTAGTAAGCACTCAAAAAGTGAATCATTCTAAAACTGTCCATTATATTGTGGTTAGACCCGTCTCCCTGGAGGATGGACACATGTGGTCATTTCAAAGCTGTGGTTTGGCCAGGCTATGTCATTTCTGAGTGCATCAGAAGAAAGAGAAAGGGGAAAAGAGATGAGATTGAAATCCATGTAGCGTGGTGGTGTTGTCTGTAAAGAGGTGCACTGCTAGTCTAAAGGTGGCCTCTCTCTGGCAGTTCAAATCCACCAGCAGCACTGTGGAAGAAAGATTAGGGCTCATTTCCTGGGAGATTTACAGTCTTCCAAAACCACCCTGGATGGTCAGCTGAGTTGGCTGAAACTTGATGGCAATGAAAGAGAAAGAAGGGAGAGAGACGTAGGGGCCACAGCTGGCCCACTCAAAGAAATGCATGTCAAGAAGAGAAAAGCTTAAAGAAGAGAGTTTGAAAAGTCATTAAAAGGAAGACCAAAGGGTGGTTGGCAGAGATGTTGGCAGAGTTTAAGAATACGACATGCAATTTTAAGTGGCTCCTAGGCTAATGACAGTGAGAAACTGCTTACTATCCCTTGACCTCAAGGGGCAAGTAGGGGGAAGAACACAAGAGGAAGCTAGTGGGAACTGAAACCAAGGAGACATTTCAGCCAGAAAGAGCTGTGGACTGAGTAGAGAAAAACAGTCCTTGAGGAGAAAGCATCGCCTTCTCTCTCCTCCCACCCTCTGATCCCATTGACCAGACACACTGGATGCTAGGGCTCAAAGGAGCCAGTGAGAAGCAGTGGCCAGAGGTCAACCTCCCAGGGTTCAGAGCAGGGTGAAAGGTGGATCTGAGCTTGCAGAGACTAGACAGCTCAGAGAAGGAAAATGGAACTCCAGGAGAATCCTGGTCACTGAGGAGCGCTTAGGGGGATAGAGCAGTGCCATGTTATGGATCACAGGATAAACATCTGGGTTTGAAAATCAGCTCTGGGCAGCGGCTTCATCGCTAGCAGCCTCAGACTTCTTTCTCAAAGAAACAGGTTCTGGTATCAGTGATATGATAATATCACTGAGAGAGGAGTATTTTGCATGTTGATAAAGCAAAGAAAGCTATGTGTACACATCAACTGTGGTGAGCATTCTGTACCAGGCGCCCTGCAACTCTAGAGCTGTGGACTTGATCTTGGCCTTTGGGAGCTACAGTCTGATGTATGAGATAGATAAGGAGATGGGATGGAGAACATCTATGTTGTAATATCTCGCATTTTATTTTTTAAAATAGAGTCATATGCATAACTATAAATGCATATCATATCTCAGGAAGGGCACAAAGGAAACTGGTACCTCTACTGGAATATCCGATCAGAGCCTGGGCGACAAGGGAAAGAGTTTTAACAACTACACAATGACAATGATTCCTGGTGGTGGAGGGCATTATGTGTTGAGCTACTAAACAAAAAGTCAGCAGCTCGAGTACACCAGCCACTCTGTGGGAGAGGGATAGTCAGCCTCTCCTCATAAAGATTTGTCACCTAGGAAACGAGGTATAGGGTGGTCTTGAGATGGAATCGGCTTCTTGTTATGTGCCATCGAGTCGTCTGCAATTCATGGCAACCCTTTTTGCAACAGCTAGGAACCATGTAATGGGGGTAGGAACCGACTTACCAAAATGTATATATCACCTATAGACAAAAGTCTTGTTAGACAGCAAAGAAGCTCTACTGGCCTAGTATGTAAGGATTGTGCTGCCAACCCAAAGGCAGGTGGTTCAAATCCACCAGCTGCTCCACAGAAGAAAGATGGGCAATCTCCTCCTATGCAATTAACAACATCTGAACCCCCCCCTGCAGGGCTCAGCTATCAGCTGATTCTGACTCAAAAGCAATTGGATTAAGAGCTGTGTTGTTAAGGCCCTTCGAGTGTATTTTCAACTCATAATGACCTTATGTGACAGTGGTGAACTGTTCTGGAGGGTTACCTGGGTTATAACCTTTGAAGAAGCAGAACATCAGATCTCTGGAGCCACTGGATAGATTCAAGCCACCAATCTTTTGGTTAGCAGCCAGGTGCTTCACAATTGCACCATCGAGGTTCCTCATAGAAAAATGTAGAGATGGTGAAATATTTGAGGACTTTGGACTCCTAGAGATGACTAAGCAGAGTATGTCTCGGGAAAATCATGGTCACAGATTCAACCTCAGTCTGAGAATTGCTCTAGCCCTGTTAACTTTGTCATGTTGCCTAACCTCCTTAGACCTCAGCTTCCTTAAGTATGAAAGGAGAATAATTATAAATAAGGTGTTTGAAGTGTCTGGCAGGAGTGGAGGGTCAATATATGTTGCTGATGTTACTATTATTATGCCCAGAGACCTTTGCTGATTGGGAAGTAACATCATAGAGGCCAGAGTCTCCGCCTGCTCTGAACCTGCTGGTGTCAAGCCAGAAAGAGCATGCTTGATGCTGTGATGTTTATGGGCTGACTCAGCGCCTCCTTCCCCATCCCAGTATCACCAGCCCCTCACCACTCTGCACATCCCACGCTGGCCTAAGGCTCCCTTGGACCCTCTGGGGGTTCTCCACTGCCCTCAAGTGGAATCCCCAGGCTCCACTGTGGCCCACCGTGCTCTTGGGCCAGTCATGTCTTCCCTCCTCTTGCCAGCACTGCTCAGTGCCAGGCTGGTGCTCCAGGCATAACAGAAGGTTGATACCAGACTTGCTCTCAGCCTGGCACAGACTGAGATCTCAGTACAATGGAATGAAATCTCTGGGAGGCCCAGGGTTGCTTCACAGGTTCATCTGTTTATAAAGGCACCTAATGACCTCTCTTTAAAGTGTTGTGCAGAAAATTCTGTGTGATATTCAGAAAGCTGTTGCCATAAGTATATATGTACCAGATATTATCTCTCCACTAATTTCTCCTTGGGAGAACCTTTTTATCTCACTCAAGTTGTTTCGTCTTCTTTCAAATGAGGATAATAATAGCACTATCATCTCAGAGTTATTGGAGAAAATAAACAGTCGAGAAAAAAAGTGTTCTGTAAACTGCAAAATGCAGAATCGCTGGTTCTGCTGTAGCCTCAGGAAGCTCCTGCAGGGCAGGCGTCCAAGACAAGACCCTCACAAAGGTCAGGATGTGGGCAAAGGGTAGAGGTAGTGAAGGTACGCTGTGGAAGAGCGAGCTATGAATCTGAACTCCAAGTATCAGGGGCAGCTTGTAGCTAGGGATTTCAGAACCTCTTAATCCATTCACTAACGTGAACACACTCAGCAGCATCTTGAGTTCTGAGTTCTCTGGCAGACCCCACACCAAAATGCCTCCACTGCACAGTAGCTGCAAGAGTCCTTCTCCCAAATCAGCACAATATAACCAAGGCAAAGAAAAATACTGGGAGGTGTATGAGAGTCCAGGGTAACAAGGTAAATACTACTACATACACAGTCTTGCATTATCAGGAGTAGCAAATGATGACCTAAGAGTGAATGCACAGGTCAACATGCAAGCTGAACAGGTGTGGGAAGGTTAACGGGACTACATCTACAAGCATATAGACAGACTGGGCAGAGGATATTTTTAGATATGTACGCATATGAACTGTAAATGTATCCAGGCAAATAGTAGAGCATATAGGAGTACCGTTACGAAGATATCTTAGTTGAGGAAATGAATCACTGGCTTCAAATAGTAGAGCATATAGGAGTACCGTTACGAAGATATCTTAGTTGAGGAAATGAATCACTGGCTTTAGGGACA